GAAAAAAAAAAAAAAAAAAAAAAAAAAAAAAAAAAAAACCAAAGAGGTTGAGTGACTTGGGCAGTTGGTAAGTGGCAGACCAGGGGTTAGTGTTTGGGGATCTCTGCTTACCCACCCCAGCCTCTGGGTGGGGACTTGTCTGAGACCTCCTAAACCCCCTCCAGCCTCCTCCCACCAGCCAGCCCCCCAGCCTGGCCATACCACAATGGCAGAAATGACAGAGAGGATGTTGACCACGCAGTACTGCAGAGCCACGGCATCAGGGGGGGCAGCCACGTAGCGCAGCACAGTGCCATGGAGTACAGCGGCTGTGATGAAGCTCACGTGGCCCAGCACCACCAGCACCAGACCTGTCTTCATCAGCACCTTCCGGAAGTCACCCACACTCAAGCCTCCTGTGAGGGACAGCCATGTCAGGGCCATGGGTGGGGCTCATCCTGCTAGGCAGAGGAGGAAACTGAGGCCCTGGCAGGAGAGATGGACATTGGGTTCTAAATCTATTTCTGGGTGACTTGGGGCCAGTATCTTGTCTTCCCTGAGCCTCAGTTTCCTCATCCATAAAAGGGATTCAGAATGCCCTGGGTACGATGGTGGGCTTGATGGTCACCTGTAGTTCCTTAGGCAGGAATCAGGCCCTGCTTGGTATTCAGTTTGGTGGCTAGGGCCTGGCACATAGAAGATATTCAGCACATAATTGCTGAACTGAACTGCCTAGAGCTGGGTGACTTGAGGCAAGTAAGCCTCTGAGTCTCCATCTGTAAAATGGGAAGAAGACCCTTGTCTCTCAGTGGGGAGGGAGGGTCCATGAGGAGATGATGGGAAAGTGGGGTACACCCTGGTGGCACTGGGAAAAGTAAGCTCTCCGTGCAGGGGGCATGGGGCAGTGACAGAGCAAGTGGGGGATGCTGGGGTCAAAAGAATACTGGGCTTTGTGCAAATTCTCTCTGTGGGCCGGCCCGGTGGCGCACTGGATAGTGCACTGCTTGGGAAGCGCGGCGGCGCTCCCGCCCGAGGGTTCGGATCCCACATGTGGACCGGTGCCCGCTCACTGGCTGAGCGAGGCGCGGGAGCAACACCGAGGTTTGCGATCCCGTTGCCGGTCCCCGGTCTGGTACGGGGGCAACACTGAGGGTTGCGATCCGTTGCCGGACACGGAAAAAGACAAAAAAAAAAAAAAAGACAAATTCTCTCTGTGGCCAAGTGGCTGTCCAGCCCCTGTCTGCACATTTCCAGGAACAGGGAGCCCTCATGGCCCTGCCAGCCCCCTCACTCTAGCCAGCTCTGAGACTTGAAGAGTGGTCAGGACCCCAGAAGTAAACAGCCCCTTCTTCCTTTAGCTGCTCTTTATGGGATGTGACCTTGAATCCCTTCCTAGACCTCAGTCACCCATCTATGGCAGAGCCGGCTGATCATATTTCATACATGGGAGCTCTACAGAGAGAGCGACAGAGAAAGGAAGGAAGGAAAGAAGGAAAAGAAAAAGAAAAAGAGAAAGAGAAATCTCCAGACTGGATGTTCTTGGGGGCTCTGTGCCAAGAGGCAGTCCCCAGGGAGCAGGGAGGGATGGGTGCCATTCGGTCACAGACTTGCTGTGGGACCTCACACCAGTTCTCCCTTCTCTAGGCCCCAGATTCCCCATCCATAAAATGTAGAGGGGTTGGTCGGGCTGGTGTCCGAGACCCCTGGAACTGGACCGGCTCTGAGAGAAGCAGAGGGCAGGCGATGGGCTGGACAGGCATTGCGGAACTGGAATGGTGCTGTGAAGATGACCTGCTGGCCAAACAGGAACAGGCATGGCAGCTTAGTCCCAGGGGCCTGACCCTCCTCACCCATCCACCCACCTACCTGGCAGCCCAGACACCACCCGCTCAGGGCTGATCTCAGTAACAACAGCATTCCAGGACCAAGACTTTGGTCAAACAGGAGGCACAGTGCCAGCTTGGGGCTGTGCCTGAAGCACTGGATGGAGAATCTAAGCGCAGCCCCCGGCTTTCTCTCTTTTTTTCTTTTTTTAAAAGACGACTGGTAAGGGGATCTTGACCCTTGACTTGGTGTTGTCAGCACCACGCTCTCCCAAGTGAGCTAACCGGCCATCCCTATATGGGATCCGAACCTGTGGCCTTGGTGTTGTCAGCACCACTCTCCCGAGTGAGCCATGGGCCGGCCCCCCCCCGCCCTCTATTTCTACCGTACCATTCTGGGAGCACTTGGCAGTGCAGCTGGTACAGGGCTGAGGACTTTACTCTTAGGAGCTAACTTCATCCTCATTATAGTCCTAGGAGGTAGGTGCTACGGCCCCATTTTACCAATGAGAAAACTGAGGCTCACAAGGTCTCTTGGCTAGAGAGTGGGGACTCCCAGGACTCTCTGTGCCGCATCGCTGTGCCCAGGGAGTGGGGGTAGGGGGACATCAGCTGCTCTGTCAGCTCCTCTGTGGGACGCGCTGTTGGCAATGGCCCTTGGTGAGTGGAGGGTATGGAAGTGAAAGCCCGTAGCAAGGCCGAGGAGCTGAGGCCCTGGGCCCTGGATCCCCGTCCCTCTGCTCTCCCTTCTGGCTGGGGCGGGGGTGGCTCTCTCCAGCACTTCTTCTCCCGCCCGGGGGTCCCTGAGGGCAGGCGTGCCCCTCTGCAAGAAAGGAAAGTGGGGGCGAGGGTACCAGCAGCCCTCCTCCCCTCATCTCACTGCTGGGGACACTGAGGCCCAGCGAGGAGAGTGACCTGCCCCAGACCGGCCGCGTAGTGAGTTAGAGGTAGACGAGGCGGCCCGGA